TATGTATTAGATCTTTGTTGTGCCTCACTGTATTTTCCCCATCAATTTTCCAACTCCTTGTTTGTTATTTACTTGTTAGGAAATACGTCATTTCAAGTCGGAGATATTATGTTTTATGAGTGAGGAATGCTTATCATTCGAGCAATGAGCATTAATTTCACCATTTATTTTTATAAACGAGATATATACATTGAATTTCTAAAAAAAAAATTCATTTTAGAAAATGTATTTTATTACAAGTGCTCTTTGGAGAATATCATTGTGTTTAAATAATTCAATTGTCAACAATAGAGCAATAATTAGTGCTTTTTTCAAAATTCCCAAAGTGCTCCAATTTAGTTTCTTTTACAAAATTCATGTCACTTGGTATTTTGTTTAAAATAAGCATTTGCTTCTTGAAAAAAAATATTTTTTCGAATTTGTTTTTATTGAGTTAGTTTTTTTTATTTTTGGTTAAATGGTTAAAATGATAATTCAATAAGTTCAAATTTAAATTAGTATTCTTTGTATGATTACGTAATTATAGTGATTTTATTATTTTATGAATCATATGTTTTAAGTTTTAGTATTACTTTCGGTAATATGTAATTCAAATTAGACTTGTTATTTTTTCTTTTTTTTTTGGGTGAAAAAAGAGCAAAGCTTTTATTTATTTATAGCAAGACTTTGCAAAGTTTTATTGTTTGCTAATTTTGTGAACGTTATGTAATATAATTGTATGAGCATTTTTTATCTGTTAAATTAAAATTGATAAATCAAAAATTAATTATAACTATCTTATTGATTTGATTATAATATTAGCATGCTCATAGATTAAAAGTTGATGATACATACAACTGAATTTAATTGATGAACAATGAGTATTATTTTGCGACGTGTTGTATTGTTTTGATGAATACTTCTTTCTCTCAGTTTATATTTCACAAATTTCCTTCTAATGAGTTAGGAAATGATGCATTTTTATTTGAAGTAAATATTTAATAAGACTATAATTAGCGTTAAGGCTGTGTATCGGGTGATTTTGGTTCGATTTTGAAGTTAATCGATTTGACTTTTCGGTTATTGATTTGTAGACATACTAAACTTTTATAGAACTATTAAGGTATTGACTTATCGATTATTGGATTATCAGTTATTAATCGTTATCGGCTTAATTGATAAGATTTGATACAATTTTTTATTTATTGAAAATCACTTATAAATCAGGTGAACCAAATAAACCATGCACATGAGTTGACAGATTGCGTCTTGCTTAAAAGCAACACACTTGCATCATATAATAATCGGAAATTTGGGACAGTAAAAAATAAAAGTATGAAACTTAATTCTAAGTCAAGAATTTTATACACTAGATGATATAATTTAATTCACTATCGGATTATCGATTAACCTATTAAGAAAAAACTTCATCAGCTATAAAAAATCAAAATCGTTTATCAAAATGACTAAACTAATAACCCACTGTCGATAAATCAACAACTTCTTACCAATTTGCATTATCAATTTCAATTCAATTATGAACCACCCTAATTAGCATGGTTCGAAAGGAATTAGTAGAGGATAGAAGTATAAAATTTGGAAACGTTGGATAGAAAACAAACAGAAATCTCTCATCAAGTTTCATTATTCTTATCGATAATAGTAATTGAGTTAATGCTATCATATGATATTTTTTTATAAGAGAAGTCAGATTATCGAAACTTTTTTAAGTAAACTTGTCATTCTTTCATTTTTCGTGTTTAATTTAAATTTCTAATAAAATTTAAGAATTATACACCAAAAAAGGAAAAAAATTATGAATGGACAATCCTACCCTTGGATTTTTATTGAATCTAAAAGACCTTAAAATAGACGGCCAAGATCAGAACTCTTCTACTAAATCCAACGGCTCACAACATTCCTAAATCCCTTTATATTCTTCGAGAAAAAACCCTAGAATATCTCTTCCAGCGTCTTCATTTCAGCTGCCTCCGACGCTCTTCCTCCCTCGCCGCCGGCCGGAATTTCCCGTTTACCTCGCGAAAATGGTGAGTTGATAGCTATAACAATTCGAATTACGTTCTAATGCTCTTCGTATTAAAATTGGAGCGCAATTGGTTAGATTTCAGCCATGGCGATTTGATTTTTGTTTTGATGTGTTCTGTTTCGACGTAATCTGGTAAAAAATTGTAGTGAAAATGACGAGTTCTTAGTTATGGCGATTAGAATTTCGTTCTAGTGTTCGTAATGTTACCTGTTATAAGTTGGACCGGAAATGGTGAATATTTAGCTTTACGTATTTGGATTTTTTGGTTCTAATGTTCTTTGTATTAACGTAATCTGTAAAAAATTGTAGCGAAGCTGGTTAGGTTTTAGTAGCGAGTTTTTAGCTATAGCGACTTGAAGCTTGCTCTAGTGTTCTCTGTATCAACGTAATTTGCTACAAATTGGAGCGAAAATGGTGAGCTTGTAGCTATGGAGTTCTGGATTTTGTTCTGATGTTTTTTGTATTAACATAATCTGTTCAAAATTTAAGCAATCAAGTTATGGCTATTCAAATTTTGTTTTTATGTTCTTAATGTTATTTGTTATAAGTTGGGGCAAAAATACTGAGCTTTTAGCTAAGGTGAATTGAAACTTGTTCTAATGTACTCTGTATTGATCTAATTTGCTACGAATTGGAGTGAAAATGGTGAGCTTTTAGCTATGGAGTTCTGGATTTTGTTCTGATGGTTTTTGTATTAACATAATTTGCTCAAAATTTAAGCAAACTGGTGAGATTTTAGTTATGGATATTCAAATGCTGTTCTTAATGTTATTTGTTATAAGTTGGACCAAAAATAGTGAGTTTTTAGCTATGGTGAATTGGAACTTGTTCTAATGTACTCTGTGTTGACCTAATTTGCTACGAATTGGAGTGGAATGGTGAGCTTTTAGCTATATGGAGATTTGGATTGTGTTCTAATGTTTTTTGTGTTAACGCAAAAATCTGATTTCAAGGTTCTTCCAAACGATGTCGACTTGTTGAACCCACCAGCTGAGCATGAGAAGAGAAAGCACAAGCTTAAGCGTTTGGTTCAATCTCCTAACTCTTTCTTCATGGTAAAGGAAACGGTTTGTCAATGTATTTGTGGTTTGAATTAATTATTCTTGGAATTAATCTGTGATTTATTTGTTTTTTGGTCTTCTAGGATGTGAAGTGCCAGGGTTGCTTTAACATGTAAGTTCATTTTTTTTTGTTCATTTATCTTAGTTGGTGCTTTCGATATGAATTTAGTGACATTAGGGAAAAGAAAATAGTGATTGAAGTTGTAAAATGGTTATGGAGAAGTTAAGTTGATGAATTTAGTGATGCTTAAGTAATAGTAATTGAAGTTGAAAAATGTTATTTGAAAAAATGAAGTTGATATCTTTAGTGAAATTTGAAATAAAAAAGTAGTATTTGAATGTAAAAATGGTAATCGAACATTATAGTTTGGAAAAAAATATAGCTTTTAAGTTGAGTAATGTTTAACTTGTGTTTGGGATACATTTCACTTTGTTATAAGCTCCCTACTTCTTTTGGCTGAAAAAACAGGCCAGCTAGTTTTATGTAGTTTGGGGAACTCATCCTAAAAATTTAACAGAAAAGTCATTCTAATGTATATAAACCTAACAAGTTTTTATGTACTTTTTGAATAAATGGAAACAATTTTCATGTCCATAGTAAAAAGTAGAATTTTATGCACACTAACCGAATGTTTTCGGAAGGATGGTGGGATATCCAATCCTCATCTTGGTTCAGTTTCAACCTCACCTGCAATAACATCTCTCTTGTCATACAATGATATGTTCACCCTAAGTCTTATTCTCTCTCTATATGTGCAGAACAACGGTGTTCAGCCACTCGCAAACTGTGGTGGTGTGCGGGAACTGTCAGACGGTCTTGTGCCAGCCAACTGGTGGGCGTGCTAGACTCACCGAGGGTTGTTCTTTCAGGAGAAAGGGAGATTAGAGAAGTAACAGGCAATTATTTGCTTTTAGAGTGGGAAGTTAAAAAAGTTTATATGGGTAACAAAGTCAGTTTTGGTGTATCCTGGCTTTTCCTTTTTTGATCTTTTAAAGAACAAAGGATTTTTAGTTTACCATGTCTGGTTTTGTTATGTTTTTCAATTAAATTGGGTTTCGATTCACTTATGGATTTTGAATTTTGCTATATATTAGCTCTATGTTCTACCTACAATATTCCCATCAATTACTTTGAAGTACTTGATAGATGTTACGTTTGTTTTACCTGTTATGATCTATGAGATGTTTCAGTCTTTAAGTTGTTGATTCCTTTGTTAGTGCCAGTGTGGATAAGTACACTTCAAAGTGGAAACTTAAAAATGAAGTGATTGATGCCAAATCAATGTTATTTGCAAAGTTTTCAGTAACAAATTGTATAAAAAGCATGATATGCAGAATGTGAAGTAAAACGAATATTGAACATGATGATAGATCTTCATTTTTGAGCTCTTTATGATTGATTTTTACCTTTACATATGAGAGAAGGTTTTCTTTTGTTCAAATTGTTGAAGGGTATGTGATATCCTTTTCTTCTTCAAGATAAGCATATATTCTTTTACCTAAAGGAAGGGAAATCAACCCGAGACTCTGTTAGTAGTTAGTAGCGGTGAGTGAGAGCAGATTGGGGTTTGAAAGAAAAACAAACACGAAGCTTCGTTCCTCTCCTTTTAGGTGAGAGCTACTTAGTTCCTCTGCAAAGTGTTCACTTTTCACCCGGCTACTACAGTTGGAACCAATGAAACAAATGATTGACCTATCATATCAATTCTAAGAAACAGAAAATACCAAAAAGTTTAAATTTTCAACTAATAACATTGATTCAATTGACATTGACATAATAGAAAATTTCGTCTATTAAGAAGGATTTCCCAAATATCTGAAATTGAGATAATCATAGAAAATGTGAAATATTTTTAAGAAAACAGTAGCTCCAATTTGTACACATTTTAAAACTTGACAATTGACATTACCACTTACCAGTTACAAATAATTGACCTTTTTATACCAAAACATTCAAAAAGTTAGTCACATTATTATACATGAGTACTAAATGTCAATCAAGTATATACAATCATTACAAATTACAGAACCATTCAGTAGGGTTCATATACATATATTTTTTTTAGCATATATCACTGTAAAAGTTTTGGGCCAGTGTTAGAGTACATCCATGATGTTATTGTCTCCACAAGCATATCCAAGTCCTTTGAATTCCCAGAATTAAGAATTATAGAGTCTACATTACCGAGCGTATTGCCGACTTCCTTCGTGACGTTTTCCCATGGCGTTCCTGCTGTCAAGTTCGCCAATAGCTCGCTGCTCCTGTTAACAGCGTCCGTCATTCCTGGAGGAGCATTTGGTAGAGCCTGAAAGTTGAAAGAAAGGTAAGATATGGTGTACATTGTTTCAACCTCTGAAAAATGCATGAATGTGCCAGCAGAGTCCCTCCGTCCCGTCTCGTCCCAATTTATGTAGCTATAAAACTCGTCTCATTAAAGGTAAATGAGAAGTTATATCATTCTTTTTGGGCAAACTAAAAAGGAAAGTACATCACATAAATTATTGAAACTAGATGAGATGGACTTCCATTTCACTGAGTTTCGTAGTTTAGGGTGAACCTGCTGTAGAGGAAGCGCATGGTCTCCAGGAAGAGTGCGGATAGACATATCCAGCATTGAGCTGATGGCGGAACCTGAGCTGAGCACCTGAGCTAGTGTTGAAGTTTCGTCGATTGTATCATCTTTGAACTTAACTAAGAGATTCCTCGAAATCCCGTAGTAGGACCTTATCTGTAGTGTACATATTAGATAAGAAAAGTTACATAATTATGGACAATGAAGATATATATTTTGTGTAAGCTACTCTATAATCCCATTTCCTACGACATAATTGCTACTTTTAAGAACTGGGTTGGGGGCGGGGTGAGTGGGTGTTGGGTAGGGATTTTGTTAAGAAACTGATTTGTGAAACCTGCAACCCGCCCCACCCCATACCTGCCCCCAAAAGGACAAGCCCGCCCCACCCCATTGCATCCCTACATGTATCTGCTCTACATTTGCATAGTAGTCATTGAATTGGTCATACAAATAAACACTACACAAGTTACACCAAAAAGTAGCAATAAAGTGACCTAAAGATGTTCATGATATGTACCTAGTTTAATATGTAGCTATAGTTTATGAGCATTAAGATCTCAAAATTTTCCATACCAGTCTTTGAGTTTCTTCTGGTCTTGGAGTGAAATTTTCTTTTCCATTAATCAAGTCCGTGTATAGAGGAGTCAGTTGCTCAACCAGTGGAAAAACTTGCTTCATGATTGAGGGGCTAAGGTTCTCTATTTGCTTCATAGTCATCTCCGCCTGTAGATATAGAACATGAGTGGAGCAAAAGAAGGTATCTCTTATTCAGTTTCATGTGAAAGTTTATGAAAAAGTGACTAACACAACTACCAGGGTGACCTAGTGTTTGAACTACAGCATCCAACAAAAAAAGTGAAGGTCAACCAAAGGCACAAAAGAATGAACAAAACCTTCAAGTATGTGAAAATGAAGGATGCTCTTCCTCAATTAGCATTTTTTCAAGAGACAGTTGAGTAGACATGGATACAAGTTAGATTAGAAATTCTTATCGTTTGTGTTTGAGCAATTGCACATGACACAATTAAGTAGAGGCAATTTTACTACTCTTGGCATCCATCCATCCGATGACTCAAAAATAGTCTCAATCCAACCCGTTTATCCAGGAAAAAACATCCATAATGTCACATGTGAAAGTCATCTAACAAGAACGTTGAACAGAAGCTGGGTAGTTGGTGAATTAAGCTACTTACCCCAAGACGAATGGTTGGTGATGATGCGATCTGTGATAAAACTGGTCCTAAGTTTTGCATCATTGGAACAAGAACAGATGAGAACAACGGCACTGCAAGGCTGGCATCCTGTGAAAACAAAGTAATAGGAAGCTTGTTAAGAGTTCCAATAATATGCTAAGATGGTGATGGATTACCCACGCTGCGGGGCTTCAGCACACATATATTATTGTGCACATTAAAATGTCCAGAAACTGAAACTCCTGGTGGTCTAACAGGAGACCTAAAACATGTACATGTATTACTGTTTTTTACTTGCATGAACATCTACATGATGAGTATAAAAGCAGTAACTTGAATTCTTTTTATAAGGTGAACAATGTTATTAATGATGGGGAGATCCTCTTATAACAAGCCGTATACCAAAAAACACACAACTTACACCAAAATATGGTTCTCCACAAATGAAACCCAATAAAAGCAAAAGCTTTGATTCAACCAATTTACAATATTCTCATAGCTAGGTCCATCAATGTTTTCTACTTTCCTTTTCCTACAAGTTCTAGAATTTAAATGAGGAACACGCTGACTCAGTGAGGATTCATATAGATGACCCCAACTTATTTGGGACTAAGGCATAGATGTTGTTGTATAAGATTTGGAATATAGAAGTTCAAACTAAGGACAAGTCTCCATCATTCAAACACAAGAGAGTGCAGAATATTTCCCCTTTATATGATAAGCTGCCTAAAAGCAAATTACACATAAACTTCTAACTCTGCTACTCGATGTAACTGAAGCATAACGAACTCTAAAGAAGCCTCATTTTGCTCAGGCCAGATGAAACTAGAATTGTAACAGGGTTGAGGATAAGTCACACAATTTAAGATGCTATACCTAGGTTTAGTCTTACAACTAGAAATTAATATAAAAGGTGTCGAGGAAGAAATTAATGCAGACTGTACAGATCGTTCCTGCAATTCTGGAAAGACATACAATGATCCCATATCACCCATGAACATGCAGCAACTTGACCAACCTAAGCTTATGAAGCTGAATCTAATTTGATACAGTTTTTTGCAGCCCCTACCCTGTCCCACCAACCAAAAGAAAAAAGAAAAAAAGATAGACAAATGAAAGGAAAATATGGGAAATAAACCCTGTGCGCATCAGTTCCATTTGTATCTGTCTTTGCATCCCTAAAACTGATTTTAAAGTTGTACGAGTTCAGGATAAAGCTGAAAATAAATCCATCAAGTACCTTGTTGTTGAAAGCCATCAATACATTCCCGTTTCTTTTCACAGCATATCTAGCTCCTGAGCATCAAGCATCAAACGTTGTGGACCAAGTTGACCAAATTTACCTCTATGTAAAAAATATTACTGAGATACAGTAACTTACCAATCAAAAGGTGAATTACAGATCCTAAAGAGTGCCCAATGCCAAATACAGGAAGGTCTTGTACCTATGTCACCAATGGACATTCATAAGAAACAAAGCATGATAAAACAGTCTCATCTTCGGTAAAAGCTGAAACTCACTCTTTCTTGGAGAAATCTAAGGCACCTATCAAACTTAAACTGCACTTCATCTGCAATGTAGAAATGGTCAAATCCACTAGCATAAGGTGTAGCAATCACCAAGACATCCCTGTCTCAGAATGTAATAAAAGTAAGTTGTTGCAACACCAACATATCCCTGTCTCACAATGTTAATAAGACTAAGCACTATATTTACCCCACTTAACGGATGAGACAAGAAAACAGGACAAGGATTATAGCTACCATCATCAGGTATTAGCATACTAGTTTATAGAATAATACTGCTGGAATGGGGTATCAGGTAGTCTAATACAACTAATAGCATAAGAAGCTTAGCTTTTTAAAGTCTTATTAAACAGTTGGAAATCCCTTTACCAAATTACTTAAGTAAAACATGACCACTTAACTCACAATAGGGGCTGACATGGGCTATAAAATGACACTGCTGGAATGGACATCAGGAGGCTAATACAACCAATAGCAAAAATATCTTTGCTAGCAAGTATGATCAAAACAGCTATTTTCTGCACAAGTCTGATTAAACAGTTGGAAATCTATTAAACCAACTACTGAAGTAAAGCATGCCTTCAGTTGGTAAACCACTGGATAAAGTTCGGTACACTTCTACGAGAAAGTGCATAATCGTTACTGAATCATCTAACAAGATACTATTTAAAAAGAGGAGCACTTCTCTGGCTTACTGAAAATCTGAGAGGTCAACCTTCCAGTTCTAAATACAGTGAAAGAGAGAATGGAAGAAATTAATATTACCGGCACCCCATTGGTGCACTAATTAGTTAAAATCTTCTACTTTTCCTATCCTGCTTATCAGCAATGCGAAAAAGATAGAAAAACTAACTATAAATCAGAATGATACGAAGGTGCATATACATCACAAATATAATAAAGAAGTGATGCTGCTTTCAAATAATAAGCACATAATAAACATAGATAGAATAAGATGGACCCTAGCATCAAGATCAAACAACTCACTTCTGTCTGAGCCGCTCAAGGAACAGGCGGTAAGAAAGCTGCGGAGCAGCCCCAACAAAAACACCTCCAATAAAATGTACGACTAACTTCGGCTTTGATGTTTTTGGTTGCAATACCCATGCTCCCTGTAATAGCAAACTGAGTTTATTTCATTTATAATTCATCAGAGTATTCTAACATGTATATAGAACATGGATGTGTGGGCCACCGTCCTTGTTCTCCTTCACAAGCAACCTACTATCTTATTTACTGTCACACAGTTGAAATTGTATCATATAAACGTCCATTCCAGACACACATTATAATCACATAACATATATTGATCCAACATTATGCTTACTACGCAAGTTGCATCATGACCGATTCCTTCAAATCTAACAGTAATTATGTGCCCTCTCAAACTAGATAGTTCTTTTTTGTCTTTAAGCTTATTTGGAAGACAAAAGGTTGTTTAAAGGTTACAACCGAAAAATGGTTTTAAGTAACGCAAAATTGGGGTAAGAGATAAAGGATGCAAATTGCATATCAATACACTTGTAAATTTACACAAAAGGAAAGAATTTTCATGATTCAATTCTTCTGAAACTAAAGCATATTTTTAGGGAATTCCTTTAGTAACCTCGATTTCATCCCAGTCCTGTGAACTTCCCCAATCTTGAGATTGCTTCACTGTCTCTGTAAGTAATCTGTGAATAAACATGATCAGTAGTTTCTTTTTAGGTTTCATGAGCGAAAAAGGACACTGTATAACTGACAATGGTAAGTCAAGAATCACCAATCATCTGATTAGAACTCCAAATTCACAATCATATATGGCCGTGTATAATTGACATTATGGATAGATTAGGTTAGAAAAACACGACTAATCATACCAATGAACTAAAAAAGCAAGTAAAAATTCATCACCAAGATTCCAATTATATAATATCCAAGTGCATGCGTCCATCAGTTTGTGCATTCACAATTTCACATACAAAATGTAGTTGCTAAAAACAGCTAACATAATTGTAGCATTGCTTTCGATTTATTTTTCTAGCTGTAGGGCCATTACTGTAATGTTAGAAGTACTTTTTGATTTATTAACAAACAGGTAATAGCACGTAGACGGCAGAACTGATCCATAAAAAGGGTTAAGAGCCTTGATGGCAAGTCAACGTGTACAAGACATAAGGTTCATTAAGAGTGAGATTATATTCATAATGTCACCTTTCCTTGAAATGCCAACTTCGGCATGTGCGACGATTCCTTTTTTTTTTAATGACAAGGGAAACCCGCAGCCGCTAAAGGTGCGCACATGATAAACGATTCCTTTTTTTGTCTTCTTTCTTGTTCTGATACTTACCTCCAACAGTTATTCTTCCTTCAAAAAGGCAATTTATGGGGGTTGTCCTGGTTTTTGTGCCAATACTGTCCTATTGCGCAATTGCCTTAGGCACAAGGAGGAAACTATGGCTAATCTTTAAGCCGTCGAGCTCACTTTGCACAGCTCAATTATAATGTATTTGTGTTGCTTATTAAGGACAGAGGGATGGAAGAGGAAAAATATGTCGCAAACCATATTTATCGACATTCTTTTTTATCCAACTTGAAGTTTGTAATTGTTATAGCAGTCTTTTGGTATAGCAACTCATTCCATTTAGCTACAAATACTGCCGCTTTCCACCTTTCACCACAATTTTTTTTTGTATACTTTTAATTGTTAACTTTTAGTCAACTACTCTTTCAGTTGTTTCTAAATATGTAGATCTTATGCACTCAAGGGTGTGGACTAGCTATCAATGAAGCGGATAAGAATCATGAGGTCTCAGGTTCAAACTCCAACGAAGAAAAAAAACACTAGGTAACTTCCTCTCCCACATGTCCTAGCTTTGGTGGAACAGTTACCTAATACACGTTGGTGGGAGGCGACACGTATTTGATGAAGATAATGATTAACAAAATAATAAAATAATATTTAGATCTTATTTCAAAACAATAGGATATTTTAAGTTAATTACACACCAAAAATTAAAATATTTCAGATCTCTGAATTATGCCACATAAAGTGGAACAGAGAGAGTACTTTCCATGCTAAATCTTTTTTATTATAACGCACTTGACTAATTCCACTCAATATTTACTACCTCCTACCAATAATATGGGTAACTCTGTTAGCTAAGACTAGAACAAATGAAAAGATATCGCCGCTTTTGTCATGCCGGAAATTGAACATGTTAATTTTGCTCGATAGAAGACAAGTTACACCAAGCAGACACAGAAAAATAAAAGGCAGCATATTCAATCAAACCACTTAATTTCACAAAATCAGGAAAATCTAAAGTTCCGCCAGAAATTACTACAAGTATTGACTAGTAAGTAATCGAGCGATTAGGGCAACAGACCTCTCAATATCTCTATATAGCTGGATTCCGGTACTTGTTTCCGGCTGATTGTTGCTGCTGCCGGTAGCTTTCAAGTTGCATCTGATTCTGCTGGAGTTCCGGTTTCCGGCGTAGAAGCGGATGCTGCTCCGATTGTAGAGTTTAGTGGAATCGGAGTAGAACGAAATCGCCGGCGAACATCGCCAATTCGCCTTGGGAGCAGTGACGCAGTTCATTGCAACTACGCAAGTTAGAAGAAAATGATGAATACGTACGCTACATGTGATAAGTATTGTAACAACCTGTAACTGTTACCCGATGTGTGTTGCCGGGTCGGGTATGAATTCGGGTCGGAACACATCTCCCGTCTCCGCGCATTTTTACTTGAAGTTCAGACAAAAGTAGTTGAGACTTGAGTCAATTTTACGTATTTTCAGTGTGAGTTTTGAAATAGTAGTTAAGTAGATATTCGAACAAAACATAAAATATGCTCGTCTCCGTGTATTTTTGCTTGAAGTTCAGACAGAATAGTTGAAACTTAAGTCAATTTTACGTGATTTCAGTCATGTGAATTTCGAAGTAGTAGTTAAGTAAATATTCGAAAAAAACATATACGACTCTTCTCCGCGCATTTTTTGTTGAAGTTCACACAAAAATAGTTGAGACTTCTTTGAGTCATTTTTACATGATTTTCAGCGGTATGAATTTTAAAAATATGTCTAAAAGTCGAGAAAAAATGGTTAAACTTTTAACTTATGTATGTTAATTTCAATCATATAAAACTTCAAAACATTTCATTTGAGTTCATCAAGATCAACTTCATCGTTCAATAAAATGAAAAGTTTCATTTGTGTAACAATCTACTTTTTTCCATATTTTGACTTCACTTAGTTTTCAATTATATAATAGACTAAAAATAAAAGTAAAATTAATTGAAAGAAAGAGAATACTGAAAAATTTCGAGAAATACTGAGAGAAGACATGTCGATAAATAAATACTTACTCCGTCCATAATTAATTGTCATGATCTTTCTTTGTAGGGTCAAATTATAAAAATTTTAACCTACATTTTACGATGTATATATTCATCATATTGATAAGCAAAATAAATGCAATTTATAGTACTTTTTGTATAGTTATTGAATATCTATTTTTTTTAAAAAAAATCAAATAAACCCAATTTAATTTAACTTTAAAAATTAAACAAATTAACTTTCGAAAAATGCAATATGACATATAAAATGAAACGGAGAGAGCATCTGCTTTTAGCCACTTCTATATAGTAGTAAAGTACTAATACTCATTGTACTTAAAATTATTACAATCTGTCAAAAGATGCATGAAATTCGTTATTACACGCATATTGCGATACTAATAGTACAAGTTAAATAAATTACCGTATCATAGCTCGATACGATTCGCATCAATCAGTTCCCTCATCGGTCTTCGAGTTTCAGGTAAAAACATATTGTGCTATCCACTGACTTACAGGCAAAACGCGATGCTCGGTGGTTAGCACGATGAGATCTTCGTTAGCACCACGTTTAGAGTCGTCGTCTACAGCCCCGTTTGTCATTTCTCTATCTCCTCCTGGACATGACCATCTGCAGTAAGAGATGAAGTTGGATATAACATTGATGAAAACTCAAATATAACCAAACCCCAACCAAGACTGGAACAAAAACTAAGCTCTAACCTGGAAGTTCAATAGCCAAGTTCGCCTGCTGATCCGCGTCACAGTTAGATTCCTATGAAAACGAGAGTTAAGAAATGTTTAATCTCCGAAAATCAGCAAGGTAAGAACTAAGAACAAGGTAACTGAGAAAACCATAACGAGGGCTCTAATTCTATTCAGTTTTGGTGCTATTACAGACCAGAGGCCCCGTTTGGACATGATTTGGAATCATGATTCTAAACTGCATGTCTAAATGCTGATTTGAAATCATGATCCTAAATAGCATGTCCAAACACCTACTAATTCTGATTAATAAAGTGAGACGAGAATATGAATCAAGAGTCTAGGTGTAGAGGAGATTTATTAATTACCCGAAGAACATGAATGATGCGGAAAGAAAAAAACCTATCCTTTAGTTGTTTTGCCTGCTGAAATAGCGTAGAGATGTTTTGATTTTTAACTTTCCATAGACCCTGGATCTGTTTGGAAGGATACATTTAATGAATCAAATCAATCAGATAAAGAAAATAAGAAAACATAAAATAAGCTCAAACAACTTGACATGAGACCAATTTCTTTGAAAAGTTAAGTAATGTCGTGACTAGTGAGACCGACTTCAGAAGCTATGATAAAGCATCTCGGAGTTATAACTAAGCTCGTCAAAGACACTACTGATTTCATTGAGAGACCAAATGTATTCTGATTATATTTCCAACCAAGAAAATAAGACACGGACAAGAACTATTTGCTGCCCTCTAACTTTTCCTTCTCGAAATTTACCCAAGAGAAGGAAAAGATAGAGACTCTTTGACGAGCTCAGTTATATGATTTACCCATTATTAAACTTACCAAACTCACTCTCTTTGAGCCGAGAAACTTTAGGTGGATTGCATATTAATGCTTACTCCTAAAAAACAGCCCTATTCATAAAATCAAGAAAAATTTCACTTCGTTTTTGGTGTAAAGAAGAATTCCCGATGATCTGGATCCACTGTTAGAGACAATAGATTCCTTGAAAGAATGAGGATATACTTTGCTCTTGTGATATGTAAATATAAAGATAATAAGATTGTTACCTTTTAAAACAAATTTTGATGTTTAGTTGTTACTACCTTATACTAGAAAGGGCATGTACATTACAAAAAAGTTTTATCCTATAGAACAAAGAAAATACGTCGAAGGGACTTGTGAAATGGGTTCACGACTAAAAAAAGATTGTCAGACCTCCTTGACCTTAAAAAATATGCAAATAACGATCCTATTCATCTAGCTGAAGTTGAAAACAAGTAAAACTTTGCTAGAAGTACACAACTCCAGGTACAACTTTTATTGTGCAGACACATAAAGGAGAAGTGTGATATCAAGAAATATAAAGAAAACAAAAGAACAAACAAATAATATGGGAAAACGAACCTGCATACAAACAAGTTTGGAATCACCCTGAGCACGAATACTTGTAAACCCTTTGCTATGTGCATATTTCAAACCCAAGATAAAGCCTCGATATTCAGCAACACTGGTTGTTGCTATTCCTAAACCTTCACGCAGCCTACAGATCTATTAATCGCAAAGTTGTAATATAAGTACAGCAACGAACAAGGAAAAGGAAATACAAACCCAAAACAGTAATCATTACCAAACTTCCATCGTCAGCTCGTACTACAGCTCCTGCACCAGCTTGTCCTGGGTTTCCTTTTGAAGTACCATCAAATTCAAGAGTACAAGACCGCTGCTGAGGATAACCACGATCAGCTTCCTTCATTCCAACAGCATAAACCTTCAAGAGAATTTAAAAGAACTCAACTTGATATTAAGATTGATTAGCTTCGCCGACTTCCCATTAAGTATAAAGACAATTTATTTTTTAATCATATATACTGAAATCATTTATGTTTTTTCATAAGAAGCCATCATTTTAACAGCCACTCACACCGGATGATAGAGCTTGCTGGTCACCCTTAGGAGGTTCTAACTTGATATGCTTTCTTAGGGAATCATTTGAAGCAACAACTGATCCAACAGCATCCTGCAAATAAACATGCCAATGAACAAGATAGATTCCAAAGTGTGGCAAGCCAAACAGATCGTATAGGTGTGGACACAAGAAACTAGTATATCATTTTGTAACTAGTATTTCTTTCTTAAGTGTAAGTATTCAGTACTACTTTGAGCCAAAATTAACATTATATACCTCTCCAAGAGCCAGGTAGAAGAATACAGTACAGCAACAAAATATTGCAAAGAATATGGTTTGACAATCGCAACTTTACATACTTTGCGCACAAAAAGATGTCAGAACTCATAAAATGGTAACACTTAAGTAACCTAAATATGTCTTTGATCAACCAAAAGGTAGTATTAGTTCCCCTTTAATGCTCAATGCAAACTTTGCAGAAAACAGGAAGTCTTTCATCAGAGCTAAGGTAAGCACAGTAATTGCTCAGCAAAATATCCAGACGTCAGCTCCATCAAAGAGAAGACGAAGGTTATCCATCTGGTTCATTTAAACTACTCAGCACTCCCGAAAAGTCATCCCATGCAACGGTTTGGGAAAAAAGGTTTCCCATCTTGTTATTAAGCCTAGTCCGCAGTCGCAGAAGTTGAAGATTATAGCTCTTAATTATATTTATTACCAACACCAGAATAGTAATAGGGAACTTTTTATCCATATTTGAGAGTGCCCTTGAATTTGTTAGTCAATTAGGGGAAATTTCAGTCAGAAACATTAATTCTTTTTCCATTTCCACCATTCTTTTTGCTTTATCAACACATCGACGTGGTAAGCTGGGATCATCCCGTCATCTAATAAAATACTTGATACACACGTCACATGTAATAAACTAGATGACAAATGAGAGGAAAAAAATTCTAAACAGGAAGGATGATACTGATACTGTTTTTTGCTGTTCCTTCCACATTATAAATGTTTTTCATCACAATAACTTACTGGAATCTTCTTTATCAGAAGAATTATGGCAATCTGTAACACGGAAAGACACCTTTTACTAGAAATAGTATTTTCAGATCTCTAGCTACATTTACTAGGATGTGGCTCCTTGAAATGATTCACAGAACTACATATCCTTTGTTATGACGTTCAATCTAATAAAGTTCAATACCTTACATGAGTTTTTACTAAGAAATAATAAAAAGCAAAGATAACAACAGTTGCAAGAACTTGCTGGCAAGCTACTTTTCTTATAAGCCACCCAGCATGACCTATTTTTATTTTATTGAAATACACTTCTATTTTCAATACTTTGTATGTAGCCAGACAATCTACTCATTACTGTTCTTATTAATGGCCCACTCTGACCTATTTTTAGTTTTAGTTTTATTTATACACAACTACAATAGCTGCGGAGACTTGTCAACGACAAGTACTGCTACTGCTATATCGAGATATTTCTAAAAACAGCTGTAGAAACCTATTAACAAGCTACTAGTATTCCGTTTAAACAGATTTAGCTCATTAACAGGTACCGTATTGGAGACTTTTCAACCTCCTTACATAATCATTTCTTCAAAAAGGGTTACCCAGACATAATAGAAAAATACGGACATTTTGCTCACAATGGATTAGTATCCAGTCT